TTTCAAATATCCTCGGTATAATGGCCGGAACATGTTGTCTAAACGTTATATACCACCGAAGCATATCTGTAAAAATTTTCTTGTCTGATGCTGAGTTCTGTTTGCATCGATGAATGATGTTGATAATATGCTCCAAACAATCTGTTGAAAACAGATGCTTGTCTACCAATGCAAACAGAAACTTAAGCCTGTCACCCTTAGTGAACATGACAGTCAAGTTAGTTGAATCGATCTACCCCAACTTCATTTTATTTACATCACCGGGCTTAGATGTTGGCTTGACTGTCGGCTTTTTATTCATCACCCTTGCTATCTCCTGATCCATTGTGGCAAGCTCATGGATATAGGAGGCCAACATCCTTTTAAGATGTTTCAAAATCGGCACATACTCTCGTTGATTTGAGAGAAGAATGTTGTATAGCAAGATCCAATCATGAGGATTAAGATTGGGAAGATATGCCAGAGATATGAAATATTCCGTGTTTGCAGTACCACGGTTAATCTTGAAATGAACATTCATAAATCTCCCAGCAAGTGATGAGTTCAGTACCTTGACTCTTGTAATCTTCTGTGCACTCCAAGTCAAGTACTGCGGTTGACCGTTAAAAATCAACTAACTCCCTGTCAACCTTCAAGTTTGGAAAAGGAACCTCAGCAGTGACCTCAAAGCAATGATAAGTGAATGCTCTTTTGCTGATTGGCATGTCGAACTGCGAGTCCTTTGAGTTTTCACATTCAAAAGAAGCAATCGGTTCCAACCAATACATGGAAGGAAACTCAATCGCTTGAGTGATAAGAGTATCTCTGTCCCATTCTGGAAACAAAGTCTTCTTACACTGTAAAATATCCTCTGCCTCTTTAGTCTTTTTCTCCTTCTCTTCAGCCTCCCTTGCCACTTTCATAGTCTCATCAAGCTCTCTGTCTCTTTTCTTTCGCTTGACAGCTTCGACAATCGTCTCTTCAGGATCAGAGTCACTGTCGTCTATGATTTGCTTTCCAGAAACCGAAGCTACATTAACCTTCGGTTCTGTTTTGACTTTACTCTCCTCTCCCCCTTGTGTCGGAAGAAAGACTTTCTCCGAGACACCCTTCATTTCACTGAGTAGAGAAATGGCAGGAAGAAGTTTAGTTTGGAGATGCTTCCGAATAGTTAAAGTCAGAATTGGATCATGGGCTTCGAGAAGAGCAGTCAACATATTCTTCACATCACCAGCACAACTTTGAAAAACTGCCCTTTGAGTTTTGAGCAGTGAGATCTTCTTTTCATTATGGGCCAGTTGTACTTTCTATAAATCAATGGTTGCCTGGTGTTTTATCAAGTCCTCCTTCAAGGTGCTTTCTGCAGTTAAAGTAGCAAAACGAGAATCCAAGGATTGAAGAAAAGAGGTGGATTCTGTTTTGAGATTAGCACGAAGGGCATCAAACTTAGTAGTCTCTTCTTGAAGAGTTTGAGAAAAGGAGTCAACAGAAGCTTGGTACTTTGCTGAATTAGTATCAGCATGAGCTTTGAGTGAGTCAAGGAAAATCTGAGTTGTATGAACAACCTCAGTAACCTTCTCTATGGCCTCGGAGCATGAAGTTGTGGACTTATTTACTGCAGTAGTGGATTGGTCAATAGCTTCAGTATATTGCTGAACAGCAGTTTCCACAAAAGCTTTCAGGACAACCCCACTATAAGCTTTGTTGTCTGCAAGCAGTCGGTCAAGCTTGTCATTGATGTCTTGAAGTTGTTGATTGTTGGCAGGAGCATCAGTGTCAGTATCAGTTGGAATCCAGTAAGGACTAAAGTATAATGAATCATACTCTTCATCATCACCTCCCAAAGTAGCACCAGAATTAGAAGATGGGGTGGGAGATGGTGGCTTAGAAACAGGTGGATCAACCACAGAAATAGCCCCTGTATCAGATACATTGACTTCAACTGGGATTTGGGGAATGGTAATAGTGATGGATTCTGTTGCAAGAGAAGTTGTGATAGGTGTAGTGGAGACAGGAACAGAGGTATAGGTAGTTGAAGTGGGTATAGAAGAAGTTTCAACCGGAAGGGTTGGTATATCTGTGGGAACAGAAAGTGGAGCTTTCTGTTGTGGTGATTGGGTTGGGGTGGAAAGTTTTGTGGGTTGAGGAGATGGAACATGAGTATCTTTAGGAGATGATGGTGGGGTTGGAGATCTCGGTGGTGTAGTCTCTCTGGTGAACACTTCAAGATTCTTAGTATCTGGTGCTTGAGATTTCGAGTGTTAGTTAGAGATATTTTCCCTATGTGTTAGGCGGTGGCGAGTTCGGGATTCAAGTGTGAAGATAACTGCTTTCTGCTTGCCAGGTGAGTCTTCTCACTACACTTTACCTAGAGTGGTAATTAGAGTTATGTGACAGAGTATTTTACATGCTATTTATGTGATGTGATGCACTGCATTATTTCTATGTGATTTATGTTGTGTGTGTGTTCCAGAGTATACAGAGTTACGACCGAAAGGTCCATAGAGTTAGGACCAGAGGGTCCACAGAGTTAGGACCAGAGGGTCCATAGAGTTATAGCCTCGAGTGGCTAATATGTGTTTTATGTGATATTTTGGGGAACTCACTAAGCTTCGTGCTTACCGTGTTGTGTGTTAAGTGTTTCAGGTTTTTCTCAGTATCACGGGACGACACCGGCTTGATTGTACACACCAGAGGAAGAGTTATGTTTTTGAGGATCCTGGATTATTATTTAATTGAATATAGAGTTATGTTTTGTAATTTAAACAAAACGAGATTTTTACGAAAAGTGTTTTAAGAATTAAGCGATTTTAAATCAACATTTTAGTTTTGAAAAATTATGGTGTTACAGAAACTAATTAAATTCATCATTAATATCAACAATAACATTCTTTCAAAATTCATCATTAATATCAACAATAACATTATTTCAAAATGAATTCACATCTAGATTTTTATGTATGAGTTCGTTTTTTATTTCAGGACTCACTCACTTAAAATACAATAAAGTCGCATGAAATATGAAGAACGAAAGTGTATTCTACTAGAATACACTCTCATTCTTGTGGATACAAATTCATTCTGAAATAATATTATTGTTGACATTAACAAAGAGTTTAATTAATTTCCATAAAAAGGGAGTATAAGTATGAATATTATTTAATATACATATAGTTTTTACTAAAATCTTATTGGTGCATTGTAGTACACAGAAACATTTGAACCTCTCCCCCCCCCCCCCCCTCTCTCTCTCTCTCTCTCTATATATATATATATATATATATATATATATATATATATATATATATATATATATATATATATCGAGACCAAATGAGAACAATTTTTATTTTGAAAACAAATAAGAACAATTCTCAACCACTTATTTTAAAAACTTTGAATTTTTTTATTAATTAGATAAATAAAAAAGCTCCAATGCCATCTACCACATTCCATCCCCTTAACGTCAAAATTAGATGTCCATTTCTCATTTCACAATGAATGTTGGACAACTAGTAACCACCAGACCACTGCCGAAGTCACCGAAACGGTGTCGAAATCAACGATTGTTGCCTCTCCACTTTCCCTAAATTTGGTTGTTCACTTTATGTATTCTTATTTTCATATATGTTTTTCTATATTTATTTATGATTAATAATATTTCTTTTATGACTGTTTAACATATTATCAGAAGTAACAACAAACAATTAAAGATTTTTTTTTTATGTTTGTCGGTATATACTCATCATGTGCAAGTGTATTTCTATAAAATATGCATTTTTTTTTTCAAAACTTGTTAGACACAAAAATATTTTTGGAATATTGAAAAAAAATTATTCACACAAAATGTTGAAATAAAAACACAATTAACGAACTTTACATCCAATCTATTTTAATTTGTTAAGTTGCTTAGTTATAACATTTTTTTTTCAATAATAATGTTATCTATTTGTTGAAAGATACAATATATATTAATTACTAAAAGTTATAAGTTAAATTAAATTAAAATGTTCAAATAAAAAAAATTTAAAAAAACCAAAATAAATATATATAACGTACATTTAAAAGGTATAAATACAAATGTGCTAGGTTGGAATAAATTTACTCCACATTCATTTAATAATAAAATATAAGAAAAAAAAGTAATTGTTATAAGATAAATAATAAAATACATCACTTCATTCGTGTAAATGGAAATTTGTTCGTGCGCTTAGAATAACCCGTTTGAATTAGGAATGGCAACGGGGCGGGTTCGGGGCGGGGCGGCATATCCCATACCCGAACCCGATATTTATATTTGTCCCCGAACCCGACCCGAAACCCGACGGGTTTCTTATCGGGGCGCCCCGTCGGGGCTAAAAATATCCTCGAACCCGACCCGAAACCCGATATAGACCCGAAACCCGACCCGAAAATGGTGGCAGAAAAAATTAGGAAAACTACAATGAAACAATTGAGAAATTAAAACCTTACAAATGCTTAAAATACAAATAAGTTCTTAACATAAGTGAACCAAATAGAAATTACTAAAGTCTAATATCGTAACTAAATTCATCACAATAGTGAGAAATTGGGAATACGTGATGGGATTGAAGGTTAGAGTCTTCGGGTGGCTGAAATGGGTTAGAGGGATGAAATCTCATTTTATATATATATATATATATATATATATATATATATATATATATATATATATATATATATATATAATTTTTCGGGTCGGGGCGGGTCGGGGCATGCATACCCCACTCCCTGACCCGAACCCGAACTAAAAACCCGATAATGACCCGAAACCCGACCCGAAACCCGATAAGAGTGACCCGAACCGCCCCAAAATCTTCGGGGTTCGGGTTTTCTTGTCGGGTTCGGGTTTTTTTGCCATCCCTAGTTTGAATATTGCATGAAAGGGGTAAAACCGGAAAGAATGAAAACTTGAAGGGCATAAAATATAAATTGACCTCATCCAAATATAACCCAATCCGAAAGTGATTGCTAACTTTTCTGTAAAAAAACGGCCACAAATGGCCTTCACCTTCTCCACTTTGAAACAGCTCCACCCCCATAATCCACTTCGTTCCTTCACTCTCTGTAAGTGTCCATCTACTCTTTCTCCTAACCTCAACAATTTCTCACATGGGTTTCTCATTTTATCACCAAACAAACACTCAAAGTTCTCACCTTTTCTTCTTCAAGCACACATCACCCCACAGCAACAGCAAGAACACTCAAAACCCACAGTCAGTCGAAGAATTATCGACAAAATTCAACAAGGGTTTTCATCTTTCGACTCTAAAGATGAAAGGGTAGAGAAAAAACCAGTAGACAACGAAAAAAGGGTCGTAAAAGAGAAAGATAAGAATTCGAGAAACAGGGTTGTTTCTAAAAAAGCGAGACATAACGATTCAAACGAAAAGCTTTCGAAAAATACAGGTGATTCAGGAACTGGAAAGAGGTTTAAAAAGCCTAAAAAGGGAAAACTTGAATCACCATTACTGATCCTGCGTCTCAGTTTAGAAATTTGTTCGAAATTAGGCGATGTAATGGGTGCGATTTCAATTTTCGATTTAGCAAAAAGAGAAGGTATAAATTTAGACCAATATCATTACGCTATTATCTTATATCTTTGTTCTTCAGCTTCTATAGGGGTCGTTCAGCCTGCAAAAAGTGGCAGATCAGATACGAATTCAAATAACCCAGAATTATCAAACTATAATTCTGAAAATTTTGAACGATTTCAAACCCTAGATGATTTAATCCACTTGATAAACGATCACAAGGGTTCAACCACTAGAACCGGAATTAAAGTAAGCGAAAATTTGAAAGAATATGCACTCAAAAGGGGTTTTGAAATTTATAAACAGATGGTTTCTGATGAAGTCGAAATGAATGAAGCAATCTTAACATCTCTAGCTAGAATGGCAATGTCTAGAAATGATGGGCAAATGGCGTTTGATTTGGTAAAACAAATGAAAGATTTGGGGATAAACCCTAGATTACGTTCATATAGTCCTGCTTTATCTGTTTTTTGTAATAATGGAAATCTTGAAAAGGCTTTTGAGGTTGAAGAACATATGTTATGCCATGGTGTGTACCCTGAGGAACCCGAACTTGAAGCCCTTTTGAGAGTGAGTATAGAAGCTTCTAGAAGTGATAAAGTTTATTACTTGTTGCATAAATTAAGAACAAGTGTAAGAAAAGTGTCGCGTTCTACTGCGGATGTGATTGAAAAGTGGTTCAAAAGTAAGATTGCTTCAAGAATTGGGAAAAGAAAATGGGATCAACGTTTGATTGATGAAGCGGTTGAAAACGGTGGTGGGGGGTGGCATGGGGTAGGGTGGTTGGGTGGTGGGAAATGGAATGTTGTGAGATCGGTTGTTGGAAAAGATGGATTGTGTAAATGTTGTGGTGAAAAATTGGCAACTATTGATCTTGATCCTATAGAAACCGAACTCTTTGCTGAATCGGTTGCAAAAATAGCTAGAGAAAGAGAGAGGAATTCGAGCTTTGAGAAATTTCAAGTATGAAAATCTACCTTTTATTTAAATATATACACTTTTTTTGGTTTGTTAGTGTTATTGCTTAATTACCATTTGCTTTTTTATATATGAGATGCGAAAGACAACGAAAGACAATGTGTTTATGCATATTTTGACGTAAAATTGTTTCGAAAATTGAAACGTATACAATATTTTTTTTTTTCATTTTGCATGAAATCCATCTAAATAAGTTAAAGATTTATCACATTTAGTGATATGAAAATGAAAAAAGTTCTTATATATGTACATTTTGTTCATTTGTAGAAATGGCTTGATTACTATGGACCATATGAAGCAATTGTAGATGGAGCAAATGTTGGTCTTTTTAGTCAAAGAAGATTCAAACCATCTAAGGCAAGTCATTTTACAATCAATACCATTTATTATATTCTTTAATCATACAAATTAAAGATTTATATTCTTTGTTGATATATATTTTTAGGTCAACACCATTTCAAATGGAATTAGACAGATGCTTCCTTCCAAGAAATGGCCATTGATTATCTTGCATAATAAACGTATAAACGATAGTAAAATGGATGAAGGGATTAACAAGACGCTATTTGAAAAGTGGAAAAATGCTGATGCGCTCTATGCAACACCTACCGGATCAAATGATGATTGGTAATCTTGTTTTCATTTTATCTTTTTTTTTTTTTTTTTTTTTTTTGGAATTTATATATTCTTTTTTATCAGGTACTGGTTATATGCAGCTATAAAATTTAAGTGCTTACTTGTGACTAATGATGAGATGAGAGATCATTTGTTTCAACTCTTGGGGAATGATTTCTTCCCAAAATGGAAAGAAAGACATCAAGTGAGTAATAACTTCATTGATTCCATATAAGTTTCTAGGAAGACATCAAACAACTGATTTTTCTTTCCAAATACGTCATTCTTTTAGTAATTCAATCACTTCATGATTGTGATTTTTTTAGAAATTTCAACTTTTAAAGCTAATTTGGTAACAACTTTTTCTAATGGAAGGTGCGATTCCACTTTTCTGAGACGGGTCCCGTGTACCACATGCCACCTCCATGTTCGGTTGTGATTCAGGTTAGTATTAGAGTTTTAGTTCCAATGGGCACTGGGTTTATACATGAGCAACCTAGTGGGCCACTCTATACCTGATTTACATCTCACATGATGTTTATTTATGTCAACCAGATAGCGACCAATGTAGGCCCCACACTGTGTTAGTATCTCACATGATGCTTATAGGCACACAGTGTGGCCAACTCAGGGGTTGTTGAAAGAAAAAACATTTTACAAAAAGACATATAGGATTGTATAGATCTTTGGTTAGAATGAAAGATACATATGTTTATTTTAGTAAGGGTTTTGATGTAAATGTCAGGAATCAAGAAAAGGGCATTGGCATATTCCTATTGCTTCAGAACAAGAGTCCGAAGAGGAGAGAGAGTGGGTGTGTGTAACGCGTGAAGGAAAGGGGGTTGAGAGGTTGGATTCTGAAAAGGAAGCTCGGGTAAATACACGTACACCATTAATGTTAAAGAATCAAGAAGTACGTGAAACTCTAAAACAAACTGTTTTGTCAACTGTTCCTGTAAATGGAAGTACAATTTTGACACAAATTACTGAAGCAGAGAAGCTTGGAGACTGTATATTAGATTTTCATATATGATATCAATGGAGGATTTGTCATTAAATTTCTGAAGGCACTTTTTTTTTTGGTAATGGTCCATGTCTAGGTAGTTATTGTAATTTGGTTGTTTTTTTTTTTTTTGAATTTTTCTGTTTAAACATAATATTTTATTTTTATATTGATATAAACCCACACCTTTTTCAATTTTTTTATTCCGATCTTTTTGGCAGATTTATCGAAAAAAAAAAAAAACTAATATTTTTTTTCAAAACGGGTTACGATTTTTTTCCAAAGTGATGCCAAACACGCCCTTTAATTATTTGAAAAGTGGTGTTTACTTGTTTAGTTTATGCTTTTTTTTTTTCACTCGTTAATCTGGTTATGCATTAGCACACAAACATTACCCCAAAATTTCATTTTCATATAGTTTGCATTTATATAAAAATCTTACTCTTACTATTTATGCAACTACTTATCACCTTTTAACTATTATATTATTACATTACAAATTGGTGTAACGACCAGACGCCGAAGATCCTGATCCTTTCCTTCTTCGACGCCTCTTCTGTCTGATTCTACAGAAATTTATCAACACCAAAATCCCTGACAACAACAAAAAAAAAAAAAAAAAAAAAAAAATATTAACATATCAACAACCACTTCCCTTATCTTAAAAACCCTAATTACAAACAATACCAATATTACTTACCTAAAACAGCAATAACACCAGGTACAAGCCAGTGACTCGGAAACACAACCGGCGTCTCAGGCTACACAAAATATAATCAAATAAATAAACATCATTTATAGAAACAAAAAAATATTAAATATTAAATAGCATTAGCATAGTTATTACTTACATCATCTCTATACAGCAACCCAAGAAATCTGTTCCCTGAAGAATTATCTTTGGGTCCCCCTTTCAACGTGGAAATATCCACTGAAGAAGAATTCAACCCCCGCCCAAGATCGATCGCTTTATAACCCGGTAATCGCCGATTCCGTCCTCTCACCTGTAACCCATACCCCTTCGTTCCCCACACATCAAATCTCGAATCACTCCGGCATGTCAATTCCTTTCCGACGACTCCGGAATACATCGAGAAATTCAAATCCGTCCTCCGCGAAGGCAACTGATCCTCATCCTGATGCAATTGTAATGGCGCTTTTAACTTCACCGAATTTGAAAAAAGCATGGGATCTTTAATATTCTTTCCCGTGAAATCAAGTAATTTCCTTAAAAGCCAATAACAGTTCGTCACCATATGACTACTATCCAAACAGTTGGAATCCCCGTACACCGCAATCCGACTCCCGCCAACTTCCACCAACCCAAGAACAGCGGAATCGGAATTGTCAATTCCGGACGCGAGAAAACTATGTGTGGCCCCGCTCTCCGAACTATCATAAAACGAGAAGCTATGAACGTATCCGTTTCCCGGGAATTTCGCGATATTTGTCCCGGAAGCGTATCGAATCAACTCGTCATTTAAAGTGAAATCCCCGTTAAGAATCCGGTCACCAAACGCGATTCCGAAGGGCGCCAAAAGGTCGTTCATCGCCGGAATATTCGCGCCTCCGGTCACCGGAGTCCACCAGCTCCGGGTATTATCGTCAAAAAACCGCATTTTCACCATCGTATCAACGTTATACCAATCCGCAAAAACAACCAAACTTAGCCCGGAATTTACCACATCGTCCCTCAGCTTCTGAATCTCTTCTTCGAAAAACTCATCTTCAAGATCCACTAAAAGGAGAGTCCCGTAATTTCGCGCATCAAAGCATGTGAGAGGAGACCCGAGTGTTTCAATGTAGAATCCCGCGTCTCGTAACATGTTAAACATTATATGGAAATTAGTATGTAAATGATCGCCATGCCAATCAAGAATGTCATTCCGGACATCTAGGGAATCCCTTGGAATGTACCCGGGAGGGTATTTGATACTATGGAATTGGTCCCATAAAATCCGGACTGATCTTTCCGGAGTCGGAATCACTTTTAGTTTCAACCGGAGTACACACGTGCTATACCGGAATGACTTCTCTCCGGTCGCCGGAGGGCTGTAGACTTTGACAATCACATTGCCGGAGATCTCGCCGGAGAATTGAGATCCTTCTTCTTTTATTTGCATATGGAGTGCTAGATACCCTGTCCAAGGCCAAATAACATCGGAATAAGTGAAATGAATACTCAGGAGATTTCCTTCTTCGGAATCAGGATTCCAAACCGGTTGACTTTTCACGTATCCAATTACTCCCATTCCGTTTAGTATTGTGGTGTTGAAAAGAACCGGCATTGCATCTGCATAAAGCGGTTGCTGACAAAATGGCCATGAATAAGGGCAGTCTGTGTAATCAAGAACACTCGGGAAAATACTTGCTCGTGGCTTGTAGCTTTTCAAGATTTCATATGATTCTAACCTAATAGCACACACAAAAAAAAAAGATGTCAATTTTGGTTTATTTACAAAAAAAGCCATTGCTTTATGGCTTTTCGGGTCCTTTAAATGAAAGCCCTTTTTCTTTTTGCATGAAATCCATTGCCATTTTTGAACTTTTCTAACAATGGCTTCATGCAAAAATGACTAAACGACCTAAAAGAGGAATGGCATTTTTGTAATTTACTTACAAATCAACACGTCCAGCACCCTGTTCAAACATATTAGGACCAGAGAGCTTTGCAGCACCTTCAACTAGGGCTTGTTTCATGCTTGCAGGGTTCAATATCTGTTTCCGGTCGGAATCAGGGATTACACTCACGAGGAGACACACAACACCAGCCACCACAGGACTTGCAACACTGGTTCCTGATAAGGGTTTACACCCTGTGCTAATTTTAGACCCCATGATTTCTCTCCCGTATGCAACAACATCGGGTTTTACACGCCCATATCTGTTGGATGTAAAGTTTTGTATGAGTTAAAAAGACGATTATATCCTTGGGTTTGAATGAATTAGATGATTATATATTTACCCATGAGGGAGTTCCCAAGTACTCATGCCACGTGATGAAAATGAAGCAATGTGATCGTTGTAATCTATGCCACCAACACCAATCACATCACTTTGATCTGCAGGATTGTTTAGTGTGCCATAAAGTGGGCCATCGTTTCCAATTGCTGACACCATTATGATGTTACTTGCTGTCAATTCCAGGACCTTGTATGCGATTTTCAGATATAGGTTAGGACTTGGGAATAAGGCATTCCGATTCCAAGGGGTATATCATATATTCATATATGGAAGAGAAATATAGAATCTCTTACCTTCTCTACAAATGGAAGATCCAAGTAATCAGGGCCACCAATGCTCAAGTTTAGAACATCCATATTGCTCGCGATTGCATAATTAAATGCATCTAAAAACCATGACGTGTATGACACCTGCAATAAGCTGAATAGAAACTTATCATATAGTTTTTATGAAGGTACAAAAAAGAAATCGGATTGGAAAGGTTGTGAGAGATATTGTGGGGGGATATGAATAAAAAAGGTGATAAAAGAATGTATGATATGCATTACCTGTGCGTCTGTAAACACACGGAAAGCATAAATCTCTGTGTCTGGTGCAAAACCAAGGCATTCTGCATCTTCACCAGCAATCACTCCAGCAACAAATGTGCCATGTCCAAGATTGTCATTTAAGGTATCTTCATTGGTCCAATTAGTGCGTTCCTAGTATTGGAAGGAAATGGAAGTTAGATTCTTGCCAATTTCCGCAAATTCAATGGATCTTATAGTATATCGTTTGATGAAAAACCTTGATATTGCGGAAATGGGGATGATCTGAACGAATTCCGGTATCAAATATAGCCATCTTTACTTTTGCACCGGTGTACCCTTTTGACCAAAGTGCATCTGCTCCAAACAGAGATGTAACTTGAGATCTCTGCAGGGAAGATGTACAAATTACCATTAATGCGCATCTAACGAGACGTTGCAACCAATCACCAACGTCTATTCGAACTTACCTGTGAAAGAAGATGCCTGGCCCAATCGATTGTTTGGTTACTAGTCGCCGCCGCGGCCACATTATCACCGCCATCACCAAATGACATGGAAGTGAAGATCTTCCCAGGCCTCTTTCTACCATCGGAAAACGCTCCGACTTTCTCGTGCTTTTCGTTCTTATCTCCACCAAGCAAGTTCCTTAACTGATAGCTTGAATCGACCGTAACATCTTTCACCATTTTCAGCCTCTCAAACTCCCCGATGATCGAACTTGCCGCTTCATCGTCGATCGCCACGACTCCGAAGTCAGTAGGGAATTTAGAAGCAGGATTATTTCTGTTAATCCATTCCCAAGACGAAGAGCCATTTAATTTCTCCTTCGTGCTCTGCTCGAGATACTCCTTGTGATGTTCCGCTTTCTTGTACTCGATAAATCTTACTATGTAGTTTCTCCGAGCTAGTGCCCCTTCTTGTTCTTGTGATTTTGGTGATATTTCGGGAGTTAGGGTTTGGTTCTGAGGGGGTTTGCTGAAACGAAAAAGGGAAATTGATAGAATGAGGACGATAATAGAGAGATTGAAAATGGAGGTTTTCAATCTGTGTGAAATCGTCTTCATCATTATGTCGCCGTCGTTTACTGGAATTGGTCGGAACGATCCCTCATCGGAATCGGCAAGAGGTATTGATTTATGATTTTGGAGAATGCAGATGAATCTCCGATTCGGTGCTTTTTGGGGTTTACTGGGATGGAAAACGAACCTTTGAAATTGAATTGCCTGTCTCCTTAAAACTCCAATTTATATTTTTTATTATTTTTATTACATTATTAATTATTATTATTTATTTTTTTTGCTAAATTTACTTCTAAATTTAAATTTTAAGAATTTATGTTCCAAATGTATGATAGATCCTAAGGCACGTATCATTAACAAAAACCAACTTTTATTTTAGGTATCTAATTATTTGATTATAAAGATATGGGTTCTTAGAACTTGTAATAGCGGTTTTGGTTCCGTTACATCTCGTAAATATGTTATTTTTAATAAATGTTTTGTTATCGTGTATTTATAAAATATTTAAGTTGCGTATTAGTCGGAATGTTTGGATGCAAAATCCTCCGATAGCTGATATTGTTTTTTCTCATTTCTTTAACTCCTTGCTATTGTTTACAAAAAGT